CTTTTGGCCCCATAAATGTAGGAAATTCCACTTTGGCTCTCCGATCACCCTGAAATGCAAAATCAACCCTAAAATAAACTAATTCTCTTTAATTGAGACTAATTTATTAGTAAAAAGGAATTATAATTGATTGCTAAAAGGGGTCATATTTTTCTGTTATCAGTTCTCCAGTCTCCTACTTCAGTTACGACCAATGAAACACGTGCAGGTTCCAAACTGGTTAAGGTTCTGATTTGCTGATGGGTTTAATCCAGTTTATTGAGGGGTTTAATCCAGTTTTTTTAGTAATTCAAATTTTGTATTTACACCGTTTGACCTTTTTTTGAAAAGAAAAATAGAAAAAATTATTGAGTCCCAAAAAAAATAATAATTGAGTGGGCCAAAAAACTAAGAGAGACAAAGAGAGACATAGAGAGAGAGAGAGAGAGAGAGAGAGAGAGAGAGAGAGAGAGAGAGAGAGAGAGAGAGAGTTGGTGGTTATTTGTCTTGAGAAATTATTCAGTGCAGCTTCTGTACCACGTAGGATTGTGCATCCAGACACAATAATAGGGGTAAAGTAATAATTTTTTGAGGGGAGAGAGATAATTTCTACGAGAGTTATACCACCAAAATACGGGGGTGATAGTTTTTGCTGCACTAAAAACTAGGATACAGCAGCTGTACCTAATAATTTTTCATTTGTGTTGTTGTGATAAGAAAATCCTTATGTATGAAAATTTTGTCTATTATTTTAAAATTTGTCAAAATTAACAAATCATCTTTACATTATCTAAAGCAGATGGTTTGGTAGACTTGTATATTTTTTTTAAAAAATATCAAGTCATAATTTTTCAAAAGCCCGGAACTATATTTCTATACTTTATATTTTCCTTCTTTTTTAAAAAAAATTGTTTAATATTTAGTTTTTTTGTCCTTATCCTTCTCTTTAGAAAAACAAAGTAGTTTTGCAACGCGATCTCGCCCGCTCCTTACACATACTTTACCAATCGATTGAATATTATAGCTGAAAAAATGATTGTCTTAGATTAGTTACATAATTGGTAGGTGAGGTAATATCGGCCGCATTGGTAGGAAGGCTGCTTGCACATGTTCGATCGAAAATTACAGCCGAAAAAAATATTGCAACATACGAGCCAAAACCGAGTACATTTTATATTTACTTTAGATTAAAGGATAAATCCAAATAATTTAAAAAAAAAACTTTCAAAAAAGAGAGAAAAAGAATTGAAAATGATACTAAAAGTAAAAATAAAAATTAATTTTAAAAAAAGGAGGAAAGGGGGTGAGCGCTTGGCCAGTGCCGGGTGCACAGTAGAACAACTGTCAAAAATTCTATCGAACGGTGTTTAGTTATTTTGTGAAATAGTGTCCTATCTCCTAGAAAGTTTCGGCCCTCAGAAAGTAGAGTAAGTCTCGTTTATAAAATCCCTGCAGGTTATGAAGATTGGCGATCTTTTGGGGGATTGCACCTATGATTAATTTTGTTGAGGAGTTCTTTTTTCTTTTTTGAGTTTCACATGTTTAAAAAGTCATTTCTCACTTTATAAAAGTTATATATATTATAGGATAATGGTAAAAAGACAAATCAACACTGTACCTTCTAAATTGTTCAATCCAAGGAATAATCCTTCTAGCATCTTTAAGTTCCCATGTTCTTTGGGTATGAACCCATTGAAACTGTTGAATGACAGTGATAGTATCTAAAGTTGTGAAGAACCTGATAAACTTGGAGGAATTTGATCACTCAAATGATTGTGGGATACGTAAATTCCTTTGAGATTTTTAAGATGGCGACAAACATCCTCAAGAAGAGTTGCAGTCAAATTATTATATGTAAAACCAACTGTCTTCAAAGTTGAGATGTTGAAGATGGATGAAGGTATGGAACCGACAAGGTAATTATGTTGCAGAATCAGGTCTATCAATCTCTAGAGATTTCCAATTTTTCCAGGAATCATTCATGTGAAGGAATTGCCTTCCAAAACCAGGAGTTCTAAATTCGACTAGTTAAAGATGGAAGAAGGGACCACTCCACAAAATTTATTGTAAGGTTAACCCAAGACTTGAAGCTCTGGTCCAAAAAAAGCAAGAATTGTTCCCCTGAAGTTGTTGAAGTCCAACCAGATAAACCTGAATTTGGGTTCAGATTACATAAACACATATACATGATGAAATAATCACAAGAAATCTAAGCCCAGATGATAATGTTAATATTAGCATGATATTTGTGATGGTTTATGTGTTGTTTTGAATATTATCTATGCTAATATTAGTGCTTTGATTCTTAATTTGATCATAGGAAGGATTTGGAACAAAAAGAAGAAAAGTGTTAATTTTGAAGAGATTTTGAAGGTTTTATTGAATCAAGTTTCAAGTTGGAGAAGAAGTGGTTGATTCCCGCGTGGGCACACAAATTCCATGCCAAAATCAATGAAGGAAGCAGGAAATTCCAGAATCGACGTTGTGTTCCCGCGTGGGCACGCTATAACAGGGGCTAAAGTGCAAAATTTCTAAAGTCTTAGGGTCAATTTGTAATTTTAGCAAACTTTAGGGGCCAATTTGCAAATTCTGAAAACTTTAATTCGTTACTGCGATTTCTGAACGGGCTGAACGTGGAGATGCCCTAAATTTGCATATAAATAGTCTTTTTCTTATTATTAAGAAAGAGAGGAGAAGAGGCACAGAGCGACGGCTGGAGCTCAAGACAAGGATTTCTCTCCGTTTTCGTCAATTTTAGTTCTCTAATGTCAAACATCTATTCTTCTGTTGTTGATTTCACCATGATTAGCAGCTAAACCTCTTTTCTAGTTAAAGGATTTTATTGAAGTCTTGATGTTATTCAATTGTGAGATCTAACTGTTTGCTTTTCATCAACGAATTTTGAGTATTTATTTATTCTCTTTGATGTGTATTGATGATTATTTGGCATTATTTGAATAGCTGGTAGCATTCAATTCTCCTAGATAACTAATTTGTTGAATAACAAGGTTTATTTGTTCCTTAGAAGAGACAAGGCAAATAATTACTTGGTAAGTAGTTTACTTGTGTTGTGAGAATAAATAATCAATTTTTAATGAAATAAGGTTTGTTTGTTAGAAATTGAGTTGGGTCTTTGTTTGTCGAAAACTGAATCCTAGGAGGTTCCAGGTAGTGTTTTTGCCTATAGAGTGATTAATGAAGGTTTCTTAGCCACTGGTAGTTAAATAAAAAGACTGAGTTGTTAGGAGGTTCCAACAACGTTAACTAATATATTCATCATTTGTTGAGTTAATCTTTGCCTTAATGATAAGTTGGATACATCAAGGTGGAAATTATTCCTTTGACTAGAGTTGCTCTTATTATTGATTTTCCAAAAGTATCTTTTATTGCTTGCAAATTATTTTTGTTATTCATTAGTTATAATCCAAAAATCTCTCTCATTTAGTTACTTTGCTTTTGATTAGAAATATTTTTACTTGCTCCCTGAGGAGACGACTCTACTCATTGCTATACTACTAAATTTGTTAGGAGTAGAATCTTTTATTTTTGTTGGTTTGACATCCACCACCAGATCTATACAAATTACTAATACAGATTGTATTGAATATACTTTCACCGGTAAATCGATATATCCGGATCAATAACAACCCAAGTGGCTTACCTCTATTAGTATCTAGTCTAATCCTCGAGACCGTTTAGTCCTTCTTCCACTAACTGTGCTAGCGGTTGAAAGGAAAAGATGAGACATGGTTTACGATCTCCTGCGACTCACAGGAACCATCTGTCTAACTGACGGCTGGTTATTACTATATACTTATAATAGTGAACCCTAAAGACATAATCACCATTATGTCCTTCATTAACTTAATTGCAGATTAACACCTTAATTTTTATTAATTTAATATTTAGAACCATAATCCAAATAATTGACCATTGAGTGTGACCCAATAGGATCATATGATGTTGCCAGTAACACAGTATATTTTGTTACATGAAACAAAACTAACAATTTACTACTTGTACTGAGAGAAAATAAATATTATATGTTACAAGCAGTGAGCGGGATCTAGCAACCCATCACTTCTAGTCAAAGTATAAGAATGTTGTGATTCCATATAACCTTTTAATATAATAATGGTACCCTGCATTCAAATTCCTTTCTCCTTGATATCGTGATTAAACTCAAGTCAAGAAACGTGTCACACTTGTACCATTTAATCAATTTGTTTCTTGATTCTCAAGAAAACTGATTCTCAAGCAAGTCTAAATGAATTAATCTTGTACTTTCATGTGCTGAATCCCATCCGATATCAAGAATAATAACCGGGTAAATTTTGCAGCATAATTCATTTCACCGAATTAACTAGCACAACAAACCAACTTCGGACTTTGAATCTCTAGCTAACACGTAGTCTCAAAGTCAAAGGTCCATTTGGGGTCAAAAGTATAGACTGTCTGCGAAGAATCTACGCCAAGTCTCAACACCAAGATAATAAACTACTAGCAGTAATAAAGACATAAATGCTAAAACCACAAGATAATTGTATTTCATCTACTCCATAAAAATAATTCACTAAGTTGTATACACAATATACTAAAATCAGTAAATGTACAATTTAAGATTTGAGAAATATTTTCACGCCAAGAGGAAGTACAAAAGATTGGCTGTTACCACTTACCATGCAATTTGTGTTCAAGAACACATATTAATTAATGTGCTCAAACAACTCAGGCAGCTCAGAATAAAATTTTAAATTCCAATTCATTTGCGTATGGATATTGACCAAATTTTACTACCTTATTCAGGTTTGAAAATTTACTTTTAATGCAATTTAAAAAATCCAAACAAAACAACTAAAGAATGGAAAACAAAAATACTGACGGCACAATGGAACGAAACTGATACTTTCAATTGATAAAATCAAACAACAAAACTTAATTGTCAAACCAAAACAAAAAGGTTGCTGATAAGAAAATAATAATACTACCTACGATGTGGGCGTATCCTATCTTAAATAAGATCAATTATCAATATGGTCTAAAAGATAATTGGCAGCCAGAGCCTCGTCCTTGTTGCAAGCAAAAAAAACTTGCACAACCAAATTGGGATCAAACCCCATAGCTTCAAGCCGCTGAATCGCCTCTCCTTCCTCCGGCGTCACCGCCACCTGCATCTGCTGTGGAAGCACTGCCCCACCACCACCACCACCCAGTAGTTGTGCCAAGACCCCGGCGCCGCCGTCTTCGCCGTAGAAAGGCTCATCCATCGGGTCCAGTGACCCATCAATACCGCCACCGCCACCACCAGCAGCCTGGAGCAGCGTCCCCATCAATTCCGGGTTGTTCTGAAGCGCCTGGATCATCTCCAGGAATTGAGGGTTGTTCCCCAGGCCCGAACCCTGGAGCTGAGGAAGCAAAGCCTGAAGTGATTGGCTGTCGAGAAGAAGATTTTGATTTTGATTTTGATTAGTTAAACCAGGAAGCCCCTGTGGGAAAATATCCAAAGGATTTGCATTAACTCCTGCCCCCTGAGGAGGAGCTGGATGCGCTGGTGGGAAAAGATTCAATGGATTTGCATTAGGTCCAACGGAGGAAACAGCCACCTGGGGAGCCGGTGCGGCGGCAGCCTGAGCCTGAGCCGGAGCTTGAGGTGGTGGCGGAGCTGGTTGAGTTGGCTGAGGAGCAACAGGCGCAGTCCGCGCGGAGGAGGCTTTGTTTTTGTTGTTCATGACGACAAGAAAAGTTTGTTCTGAAACCTGATGATCCGCCAGGGTGGAAGTTTCGTCCTGGAGGACTTTTCCCTGATGAATAAGCAACTGCTGGGCCGCCGGGAAAACGTCGGAACCCTGGATTGTTTCGATCGTTTTCTTCACATCGGCTACGGTGTCGGTCGGGTTCACTTCGATCTCGAACCGGGTGCCTTTCAAAGTCTTCACTGAAAGCTTCATCTTTCTCTCTCTCTCTCTCTCTCTTTCTTGATTCGTGTCGGATTCTCCGGTGGCCGGCTGGGAATATATTTGATGGAAAAACCTAATTGGAAGAACACAAGATTATTTAGTAGAGAGAATGCCGAAAACTAGGTTATAGAACCCCCTTATATAAGGGAAATAAGTCTGCCCAAAATCAAAACTAGTTGCTTATTGGACAAAAAAATTGAATTAACTTAAGTTTCATCCTATACCTATTCTTAATTGATCTTTTCGGCTTTTAAATTTTTCTTTCTCTCTTCTTACTTCTTCTCTAATAAATACATTAAAACAATTTGGCAAGTTTAGCCTAAGGACGCTTGTCAAAGCATTAGACAATTACATACATTGTGGGAGTATATTCTGACAAATACAATAAAACTTCACAAGAAACAACATAATGAATTTACTAAGAACTTTACCGGCCGAAAATTAACCTCTACATATATATATATATATATATATATATATATGTGTGTGTGTGTGTGTGTGTACTTAGTACATAAGATCTGTCAATTTCGAGAAAACAATTCTCGTATACCCTTTACAAGCCCTGTTGACACCTGATTACAATGACTTGTTTGATAACACTTTTTGCTGCTTAAAATTATTTATTTATGTGATTTTTAACTTTAGCCATTTTGTTTAAAAAAGTTTAACTCTTGACAGATTAATTAGTGCTTAAACTGCAGTTTAAAATTTAGACACAAAAATTTAGCTTACCACTTGTTCGTTAAAGCATTACATGAATTCAGGATTTCCATTTCAACATTCATCATTTAGAATTAGCACTATTTTAATCAAACAAAGTCTAGCTTGTAAACTAAACTATAAGAAAAGATCATGAAGGGGCCTTAACTCTAGTCTCTACTGCAGAAACTTCATTCCCATTCAAACATTGGATATTCAGGTGCATGGTCCATCTCTTACAATAGTAGGATGATTTTCACATTAGTGAAGGTTATCTTGACTTTTCCACGTCGCCACATGATTTACTTATGGACTTAACAATTTCTAATTCATAGGAAAAATTTGGATTAGGGGCAGTGGAGATTAAATAATTAATAAAGAAGGTAGTACTCTTGAATAATTAGTATTAGGGGCGTAATAATTAAACAACACAAACATTAACTCTTGAAATAAAAGCATCTTGTTATTTTCATTTGATTTTTAAACACATAAATTAAATCTTTTAGTGATTATTATATTTTGTATCAGTATGGAAAATGTAATGTATTAAAGGATGTGAAAAAAAATATTATGTTGACTTAAAACATAAAACGTTAATAATTCTTAATTGTTGATAGGAGATTTTTTTTGTATAATGTTAATATTTTTAAGTAATTATTTTTAAGTAAATATCATGTTAATATTTTTTTTATTTTTCTAAATAAATTTTTGTTTTTCACTTTCAAATAACCCCCTCCCCCGCCCCCCCTCCCCAACTTGTACTTCAAATGAGGCATACAACATATTTACTAGAGTTAAGTAAATTACTTCCATGTTTTGAAATTTTTAAATATAATAATATCAAAAAAGATTTTATTTTTAAGTAGATTTTATTTTTATTTTTCTTATGGAACCTTCAAAATTTTCTCATCCCCTTCCCAGAAATATTGGCTCGATTCGGAATGCAGGTTTGGCCGTCTATATGTGGCTTTTGTAAAATGCATGATGATTCCATTCAACATTGTTTGTATGGCTGCCCTCTAGTATTTCGAGTTTGGAGTCATTATGCACGTCTTTTTGACATTAAGCCACAGAGTAACATGACATTGTTAAATGTTTTAATATATTGGGGGAAAAAGGTAGTTTCACAACGGCCAGGAAGAGTCTGATTGCTATGCTTCCTTCTTTTATTTTGTGGGAAATCTGGAAATTAAGGAATCAAGTCCTTTTTGATGGTGAAGTTTTTGTGGTTCGAAATGTCTTGCATAAAGTGAATACGGACATTAGACAAGTACTGATGATCCACAAAATAAAGGCGGCATCGGTATTGGAACAAGATTTCATTGACCAAGCATTCGGTATTAAGCTACAGGAGGTTCAAAGGCGTAGTTGTAATGTAGTCCAATGGAAAGTGCAAATGCAACAAGGTTACATCTTGAATACGGATGGTTCTGTTATTGATGGAAAAGCAGGTTATGGTTTTGTAATCAGGAAGCAAGATGGGTGTTTTATATATGGAGAATGTGGATATTTAGGCGATGGTGACAGCTTTGGAGCTGAGGTCTTTGGTATTTTATTCGGGGTGCGGAAATGCGATTCCCTAGGGTTGGATCTCGTGGAAATTCAATCTGATAATATGGCTTTGGTATCCATTCTGGGGTCATTACATTCGGTGCCTTGGAAATATTATGCACATATAATGGAAATTCACTCTATCATGGATAGAAGATCATACCGGATATCTCACATTTTCAGGGAAGCTAACTCTGTTGCGGATGGCTTTGCTAGACAGGCGTCTAGAGGCATTTCACAAGTATTTCCTAATGCTATAGGATTACCTAGACATATTAGGGGTCTTGTAATGCTAGATCAAATTTCTTTTCCTTACTTGAGAGTAAGATTAAAATGACAGGCTTGGATGTAATTAGCAAGGGTACGACTATACTCTTCCCTTGCTTTTTGATTTATATATTAATTAATTCAGGGAGGAGTGACTCTAGGGAACTATGTGGTATATATGTCCATCCCATGGGTAGAGCCTTCGGGTGCATTGTATCATATAGCACTGATTCATTTATAAAATCTCCTGGACTGTCCTTGAGAATTTTATAAGTTAATTGGAACCTGAAAATAACTCTAAATTCCTTTTTTTTAAAAAAAAAGTATATGTGCTCATTGACCACTTTAGTATTTTTATATTAATCAGGCTAAATGAGAAAACAAATTAAATTAACTTTCCATGTATTTAAATTCATATGGTAGGGTTTTTATTAATAGCTAAATATAAAGTCAATATAAAGAGTTGCCACCTATGGCTTCTTCTTCGTTTATACACTCTCTCTTATGCATCTTTTTTTTCTGAGTTTGTTGGTTGAATTTTCTGTCTTAATTTTGCTGTAATTATTATATTTTGGATTAAAAAAAAGAAAAGAAGCTAAATTTAAAGTTATGTTTGTTTAGATGAATTGATATGCCTTTAATATAAATTATTCAAAAGTGTTGCCCTCTTTATTAATTATTTAGTTTCCACTGCCCCTTATCCAAATTTTTCCTTCATAGTATTCACAATTTTTTTAATGGTGTATTTGCATTCATTAGAGATTGTAATTACATTAATGTGTATTGAACAAAAAAAGTTTTAACTTTGGTAGCTTTCATTACTATTGTTTCTGGGTGTTAATGTATTGATTAGAGTAGCTAGGCAAAAATGAACCCAAAAGGTACAACTATTCCTACATGAATTAATTAGTGCAACATTTCCTATAAAAAGTACCAAAGAAGTCGTCAACAACATCCTTATAATCATCAAACAATGAAGCCATGCACTCATATCTGTATAAAGGTACAAAGAACTAGGAAAATCGCAAATGTAATATTGGTACTGTTAAACGTGATGATTTGGTCATTTACGTCAGGTTCTATATATACAAATAAAATAGGCTCTCATTCATGAATACCAACTCAACACAATTAATACCAAAATCAAAACATCTAATTATATCCTGAAAATCATTAATCTTAGCCTCAAAATCACGTTAAAGGTTAACATGTACCAAATAGAGATCCTTTGCAAACAAATTAAGCAACAAGATGATGAATGATTAACTCCATTTTATCGTGTAAAATAATTTTGCATCCAAGAAATTTGTTGTTAACGTTTTGGACAAAAAGTTAACACTATTTTCATACTACTTTCTTGTATGTTTATTTTTCTTGAATAAATTTTCTAGGCCGTATTATTGATAGAAAAGTAAGCTATATACATCATAGGAATGACATATATATAATTGGATGGATTAATCTTTTCTTTAACGTTTTTGTGTTTTATTTGATGTAACAATAGCTAAATACACTACTATATATTGTAATTTGCAGATATTTTGAAATAGCTATCGAGATGATAATTAGATTATATATATACATACATATATCTTCCTCATTTTTTTCAGTGAAGACGGCCGGAATATCCTAAAATTGCCATCTAGAGATTTATCTGGAAGTTTGTCTTTGTTTGCATTCTGTTTTAATTTAGCACTAACAAAATAGTGTTTCAATCTTAGTTTAACCATAATATAGAAATTTACTTCGAAAAATGTGTGGAAAAGTTAACCTTGAATAAGAAAAGGTTTATTGAAAAAATGAAATGGGAAATGAACTACATATTTTTAAACATTACGAAGTAATAATACTTCATTGTTTTTTTTAGAAAAAGTTACATTCCATTCTATTTACTTCCATTAGACAAAACATAACTCTTTCTGATCTTGTGGAGTGAATCATCAACTTCACTCACAGTAAGCCTCCCCTTGAGAGGTTCATGAACGAAAATTAGGGCTAGTTTCAAGATCAATGATACAAACCCTAACATTTTATTGGAAGTAGAATGATTTTGGCCTTTCGTAAGCAATTTTGGATCAATGACTTGACTGATCAAATCCTGTATAGAATTAGCAACTGATATGCTTATATTTTACCTATTTATTATATCCCTAATTTGTAATTTTTGCAATATATTTGAGTACAAATATGCTATTTATGTGATTTTATCTTTAATTGTAGGAATTGTACTCGGATGAAGAATTGTTGAAGTTTTGAGCTAAAATCGAATTAAAAGCAACTCAATGGGAAAGAATTAAAGATTGGAGCAATTGATGGGGAAGAAATTAATGAGTTTAGAGAATTGGAGGGCCAATGATGCAATTTTGAAATGTTACTTTAGTTTTTGGAAATTGGCCGAAGGTTACGATGAATGTGCGGCCGATTTGGGATTGGAATTGGATAAGAATTTTAATCCCGATATTATTTGGGAAACAAGTTTTCTTGTTCTCCAAGAAGTAGGATTTAGCCAGAAGCATATAAAAGGAGGATTAGAGATTTATTTTTACAACAGAACTGAACCGAAAACTGGCCGAAAACCTTACAGCTGCAAACCACCTCCCCCGCACTTCACCTTCTTGTTTCCTTCCTTCACCGGCAGCCACCACCCTCGCACATCACCACCTTGATCTCCATCATCTTCCTCCTCCATCACCGCCAAACTCCCTCCTCTCCCAGCCGGCAGCATCATCACCATCGACCGCCATCATCACCTTCTTCCTCTTCTCCGCTTTCTTCCTCTTCTCCGCCTTCCTCTTCACCACCGCGCGCACCAGCCACCATCTGACCACCGAAGCCATTATCACCATCCTCCATCTCCACCAACGCAGCCAGCAGCAGCAGCATCAACAAAACCAAGCCGGCAGCTTCACCAACACCTTGCTTCCTTGCCTTCGCACACGCCGCACCACCGCAGCCGAGGAGAATAAGCTTCCAAACGCAGAGAATCGAAACAAACAGTACCCTTGAATTGGATTGATTTATGCTTTCGGTTTCGGCGGAGTTTTCCGGGTTTTTGGTGTTTTAATTCTTTTAATTTCAGAATTTGTGTGGATTATGTCTCTAAATATTATTGAATTATTTTTAATAATATTTAGTGGCTAAATTCTTTTAATCTAGGGCTTGGGTGTAGTCACCGAATTTATTTGGTTTATTTGGTTCATTATTATTTGATTTTTCCATTAATTAATATTTGTTATTCTTGTTTTAATTCGTGTAAGTAATTGGCCACTATTTACATATCTGAAGATACTAATCGAAGTAGCGAGAGTGAAAGATTAATATTAGTTCGTAGGAATAATAAACTTAGGTTGTAAGCTACGAGAGTAAGATTATAACCTTTGCAATATTTGATTCTTAATGATCTTAATGTGATTTTGTTAATCCCTATAGTCACGAGAGTAGTCATAGGGTTAATCTAAGTAAGAGGATTATAACACGAGATTGAATAGTTCTTAATTAGGTGAATCGTTATGAGATTAATGGAAGTTAAAAGTCAGATATTTGTGAATTGAATTAAACAAAATATTCGGTAGGTGAACCCAATGTCCTAGGTTTTCTTTGTCTGATTATTTGAATTAATATTATTTGCTTTTATTTTATTTATTTATTTTAGGTTTAAATTTTATAAATCTGAGATCATCATTTATTTAGATAATAATAGGAGTAATTTATGCCTGGTAATTAGTATTCCTTCTCTGTGGGATCGACCCTACTTTCTGCTTTACTACTAGTAATTATATTGAGTAGGTAATTAATATTTGACTAGTGTGACGACGGCTTGTCAGTAACCAACTCTTTAAGTTTAGGTTATCACTAAACACTTCATTATTTGGCCTTCTTCCTGTGAAAACTTCCATTAAGAAAATTTTGTAGCTGAAGATATCGCATGCTTTTGATATTAATCCTTCCGCTCCATATTTTTCATATTGGTTGAAATCATCAAAAATTTGTATGAAAGAATTACTAATTAAAAAACAAAGGAAAAATAATTCTATAATCCATATTATTATCTTGTGCAATTAATGTAGCCTATTGTAGCAAATGTTTCGATAAATTTTATGTTTTCTTCCTTTCAAAGAAAATTATCAATTCCTATATTGCCCACATAGTGACAAGAAGGACAAACCCTAATTTGGGTTTATCGCATTATGATTTATTCCTAGAAAATATATGCTAAATGTAGAGCACAAATACCAGAATTATAGTTCTAAGTTTACTATGAGTAAAATGTAAAGATATAATTGCGTTAACCTCTGTAACACCCCCCCCTCTCAAGTTAGTGCATGTGGATTCCAAATGCCCAACTTGCCAATAAAATAATCAAACTCATGTTTGCCCAAGGCCTTAGTAAAAATATCAGCAAACTGCACACAAGTAGTGACAAAATTCGGATAAATAGCGCCCTTGAGAAAATCATCTCGAGAAAAATGACAATCAACCTCGATATGCTTAGTATGCCCATGGAAAATAGGGTTGCCAACAAAATGAAGAGTAGCTTGACTGTCACAATAAAGCTGTATAGGATGCAAAAGAGAGACCAAAACAGAGTAAAAGAGATTTCAACTTGGTCAAATCACAGGTGATAAGTCATAGCACGGTATTCAGCTTCAGTGGAAGACTGAGCCACAGTATGCTATTTCTTAGTCTTCCAAGAAACAGGGGAAGTCCCTACTTGGATAAACCAGTCAGACAAAGAACGACGAGTCAAAGGGTTACCCTATGATTAATCCCTGCAGAAAGTTTTGGCCCTCAGAAAGTAGAGTAAGTCTCGTTTATAAAATCCCTGCAGGTTATGAAGATTGGCGATCTTTTGGGGGATTGCACCTATGATTAATTTTGTTGAGGAGTTCTTTTTTTTTTGAGTTTTACATGTTTAAAAAGTCATTTGTCACTTTATAAAAGTTATATATATTATAGGATAATGGTAAAAAGACAAATCAACACCGTACCTTCTAAATTGTTCAATCCAAGGAATAATCCTTCTAGCATCTTTAAGTTCCCAAGTTCTTTGGGTATGAACCCATTGAAACTGTTGAATGACAGTGATAGCATCTGAAGTTGCGAAGAACCTGATAAACTTGGAGGAATTCGATCACTCAAATGATTGTGGGATACGTAAATTCCTTTAAGATTTTTAAGATAGCGACAAACATCCTCAGGAAGAGTTCCAGTCAAATTATTATATGTAAAACCAACTGTCTCCAAAGTTGTGATGTTGAAGATGGATGAAGGTATGCAAAACAACAAGATGGAAGAAGGGACCACTCCACAAAATTTATTGTAAGGTTAACCCAAGGCTTGAAGCTCTGGTCCAAAAAACCCAAGAATTGTTCCGCTGAAGTTGTTGAAGTCCAACCAGATGAACCTAAATTTGGGTTCAGATTACATAAACACATATACATAATGAAATAATCACAAGAAATCTAAGCCAAGATCTATACATTACTAATACAGATTGTATTGAATATACTTTCACTGGTAAATTAATATATCCGGATCAATAACAACCCAAGTGGCTTGCCTCTATTAGTATCCACTCTAATCATCGATACCGTTTAGTGCTTCTTCCACTAACTGTGCTAGCGGTTGAAAGGAAGAGATGAGACATGGTTTGCAGTCTCCTGTGACTCACAGGAACAATCTGTCTAACTGACGGCTGGTTATCACTATATACTTATAATAGTGAACCCTAGAGACATAATCACCATTATGTCCTTCATTAACTTAATTGCAAATTAACACCTTAATCTTTATTAATTTAATATTTAGAACCATAACAGAAATAATTGACCATTGAGTGTGATCCAATAGGATCCTATAATGTTGCCAGTAACACAGTATATTTTGTCGCATGACACAAAACTAACAATCTACTACTTGCGCTGAGAGAAGATAAATATTATATGTTACAAGCCGTGAGCGAGATCTAGGAACCCATCACTTCTAGTCAAAGTATAAGAATGTTGTGATTCCATATAACCTTTTAATATAATAATCGTACCGTGCATTCAAATTCCTTTGTCCTTGATATCATGATTAAACTCAAGTCATGAAACGTGTCACACTTGTACTATTTAATCAATTTGTTTCTTGATTCTCAAGAAAACTAATTCTAAGACAAATACAATTGATATCTCCATTCATTTGATCATGGCCATGTATAAGTTGTTCTCTATCAAGGGGCCCAAGATATCTTACTCCTTTGAGGAGGGACAAATCCTATCTTGATTACCACATTCCTTACACTGACTCATGGCATACGCAATATTAATCTTCATTATCCATCCTGTTACTGACGACCTTAGACTATAACAAAGCATACAACTCCTCATGTAGGAATCAATGGTGACCTCAAGTCCAAGGACTAGATACACAATTATCAATATGAGAATTGCTTATGACACTTATAAGCCCATGTAGTATTCTCATGGTTGGTCAGTCCAATACACAAGTTCTCGCACTTCTACTTATGTGTTGAATTGATATCACATATCTATGACAACTCGTTGTCATCAATCACATGACATACTAGTCTTTGCATTATTGTTGTTTCATTCCACAATAATACTTTGACTAGGGACATTTAAAAATATATAAAAGACCTTTCACTATCCCAGGGACGTTATTATGACTAACAAGAACACACAAATATTCCACATTCAACATAATAATGGAATTCCCTTATATAACATTACAATTCTAAGAAACATAATTATTTTGATAATTAAGATTTCTTACACCAATTTTTTCACAAAGATTAAAACTTATATTAATATTTTTTATTCTCTTAGCATTAGTGTGACAATTATAGAGGAAACCTAAAAATTGAAGAAGATCAATAAAAGAGAAAAGTTGAATGGGAACTTTGAAGACTACATTGTGACTGACTTAATTTCCAAAGTCATGTAGTAAAGCCATATTTATAGGCATAGCAACTAATATTATCCTACTAGATAACAATGAATAAAATAAAACTATCAACTATTCAACACATATCCCTCTAGTCTTTATCTATGTTGATTAACAAAAAAAAGGTAAATATGACTCTTCTTCTTGATGAAAAACTCCTCTTGATATTTATCTTTAACATCCTCCCTCAAACTGAGTCGGGGTTGGTGACACAGTTTGCTTCTTGATTGATTCTGCTTCTTGATTGATTCTGGTAATTGGAGTTTCATGATACGTGAATGGTAAGTTGTGTGATGTAATGTGTGTTTTTGAGCGGCATGCTCGAATTGTTGAATTGTTAGAAATTGGTGGAAAACGAGCTGTATCAATTCTCATTTCCTGTATGGATTAGATTTGTGCATGAGAAGTTCAAGCTCTACTCGGAGAGGTGGTTTAACGTTTGCCATAATGTGAATTTTTGAAGATTGATACAGAGATATCCTTCTCTTTGTCAACTATTAATTTTTTGGATCAACTAAAATTTTTGATCTGTGAAAAAAAAAACATTTGTGGGTTACCTAAAGTTGTTCATATGGATTGATGGTAGACTGGGTGGAGTAAGTGGGTGGATGGATTGGACCAAAAGTTATTTGAAGTGACAATAGAGAATGAAAAAAAACTTACGAGGAAATCACAAATGTATATATGTTTTGTGTTTGCAGGAAAACATTGGAGTGATGAAATTGATGAATTTGGAGTTTAAGTGTTCAAAGATAGGGATATAGATGAGAATAGAAGAGTGATGACTTTATTTATTGAAGGAAAAAAAACAAAAACAAGCGGAAGTAAGGTTACAGAAGCAGGGCGTAACCTGCTCTGATACCAAGAGGAAAATGAGAATTTTGAAGAACAATAAAAAGTAAATGAGAGATAAATTGAAGGACTACGTTGTGCCTGAGTTAGTAAAAGAGAAAAGTTGAAGAACATCAATAAAAGAGAAAATGTCGGAGAGGTTAAAGAATAGGGAAATTGACAATTACCCCCTTGAGTTATGTCCTTAAGACTATTTCCCCCCTGAGTTATGCGTAAGGACAAAAACATCCCTTGACCACAGGTCAGTAGACGAAACGATCCAGACTTGGGGAGAACTGGTGATGACGTAAGCAAAATTAAGAGTGTAAAGACAAAAAAAAATCCTTTAGTTGTGAACCGAAATTTGTCGTGACTACCCCTTACCTTTTATATATAAAAATTCCCTTTCCAAAATTCACAAGTATTGAATGACCTAAATTCACAATCGGGTCATTTTCAACTGGGGGTTGTATCCGACGGAAGACCAATGGCTGCAAACCGATTCATTGCATCAACTAAGGTATGTGATGTGTCTTTTGCATTAATTTCATCTCAGGGATTCTCTTAGGGCATTTCAAATCAAGTTGATTTGGTTCTTTTCATCGGTCAATTTACACATTCATATTTGAGATTTTATGCTTTATTTAGAATGTCTTCCTCAAGCAACTACAATCTGATGGAAAATATGAGGTTTGCATACCTTAATTGCAACAAATGTGGGGAAACTTGCAACATTAGGATTTCGAGTTCCGTCGACAACCCAGGTAAGCTTTACCGTGCTTGTACTCGCCATAATTTTGTGGATTGGATTGTTCTGATCTATTTTGAATCTGGAGCTACTTCTCGAGAAACCAGAAGAAGAATCACTAGAAGGCTTGACGGGAGGGAAGCATATGGAGCTTAATTTGAAACAGAATTCCTCGGAACAACTAATTGTGTAATAGAATGATGACTACAGTTTTGATCATAAATTCAGCAAGTTTAATTCTTTGCTTACTTGTGTTGGTGATTGTATTGGCTAGGGGTTAATCAGCCGTAGCGTATGTGATCACCTCCACGTTAGATATTGGAAGTTGGAAGTTGGAAGTTGGATTAGAGCTTTTGGGATAAGTTTTGGGAAAGATGGATCTCCTCCTTTTGATGTGAAGTATTTGGGCTGTTTGTTAGATTAGTTTGGCATTATTAGGATGTAGGCATTTTTATCATTTGTTAAAAAAAAAAAAAAGAATGCAATCAGTTGTAGCATGGTTATTGTTAAATTTGGGTTTGGCTAGAAGCTATTCATTTTGGATTATGTTGTAATGGTGATTGATAGGGCTGTAATGCTTTTGGATTATGTTTTAATGCGACTGATTAGGCTTTTACTAAGGTTTTTGTGATGTATTGAATACTTATGAGTATTTGAATAACCATTATTTTGTATGCTTGTCATAAATAAAATGTACAACCACAATGCGTATGTTTTATCCAACGGAAATGTGCAATAATTCCTTGCAAAACATAAACAAGCTTCAAACATCAAAAAGTACCATAGACGCCCTAGTTTAGATTGAATATAATGAGTTTAAAATAGAGTAGTACAATACCACTATCATTACCCTAAACAAGCAAAAGAAGATCGAATAATTTTGCAAGTCTTGAACTTTGCCTCAAAAGCAACAGTGGTAATTATACAAAAGTGAGCACATAATCAGTGTCTCAACTGCTTGGTAACAACATAATTTACTAAACAAACCACTGGGATAAACTAGTAAACAATAATAATTCAATTCAAATACCATTTGGCGGGGTACTTGGATGTCGAAACTGTGTTTTTATCATTTTCTTGATGTTTTACCACAAATCTGCCTGACAATTCACCGCCAAGCAATGTTGATGCCCTTGCACTTCCAAACATCCTTTCAACACTCACAGAATTACTAACCTCCTGAAATGCAAAAGTACACATCAACATATCAATATTATCGCAAAAAATAATTTACATTGTTTATGTTTGTATCAATAACAGACCAAAAGATGTTTTTATCATTTGCACAAACCTGGTACTTTACATTCTTGTTTTCGAGGGCTGGTGCTTGAGTTTGTTTGTTCCCTCTCATTGGCATAGTATTTTGCATTATTTGATCATCTAGCAACTCATTGTCATCATCTTTTTGCTGAACTTTTTCGGTTTTTTCCCCCAACTGCTTAAGAGTTTCATTTAGTAGCTTTCTTAATCCATACTGATCAGCTTCACAAAGAAGTTGTATGTCTACCATTTGACCCCTCTAAAGTATTTGCACAAACATACATGAAATTTTAGTAATTTCCTTAATACAAATAACTATATAAATTAAAGTAATTCATCTATAATACCTGGGTATTAGTGACAGTCTTTTTTCTTTTGATTTTTTCAAATCTTCGGGTTGTTGGAATGACAACTTGGCTTGGATTAGTACTCTGATCTGAGGCATTGGATCCTTGTATAGATTGAGTTAGAATGCATGCCTGGCTTGATTGAGTAGCAATATTTGCTTGGCTTGAACCACCAGTAGCAAATGTAGTTGCTCCATTTTGTTCAGTAGCACTACTTCCACCAACACTACTTTCACCACCACCAATTCTAGGAGCATTACTTCCACTTCCACTAAAACAATTTCTAGCAACACCTCCATTCTACATTTCGGAGGAAATAATGTCATTAAACAAAAATAATATTTTGTAAAAAATAAAAGCAGCTTCAGTGAAATTAAGTAAGAAGTTAACCTATAATTTTAGGTTCCTATAACCTTTTCTCATCTTAACAAGTCCACTAGCAGAAGTCCTTGTATTATGACCATATTAACAACACTTACAACATTTTCCCCTTGTTGACCTTTTCATTGGATCTTCATGGGCTGATTTAGTCCTTTTTTTTGCTGGTCTTCCAGACCTTCTTCTAGTCAAAGGAGGAAGGCAATTTGAGTTTCAAAGTCTGGCCAAAATGATTGGTCCTTAGCTGGGTACATTGTATGATTATAAGTCCTCAAATACTTTGACTTTGACAGACTTGAGTGATAATAGGACTTCAAATTTTCTCTTCTGTTGAGTATCACAACACAAGCATGCTTACAAGGAATTCCGTATGATTCCACTCTCCACAATCACAGTAGCTTTCATCAAGTTTGACCACAAATGACGTATTTTCTTCTCTAACCTCAAAAACTTTTTCCTCTGAACACCAAAATTTGAGAACTCTTGAAAATTGTGCATTTTCTTTCAACTGTTTTATTACCCTTGGTGTCACATCATACAACCATAATGTAGCAGCTGCAAATCTCTTGTGGATCTTGGACATCAATCTCCCCCTAAGTGTATCAAACATTACAACAGGAGGTTTATCCCTCAAATCTCTAACCCAATTATTGAATGAATCTGATTGTTGGTGACTTGATCACACTTTATGCTTTTTGAAAATGCATGCCTTGCTCAGCTTAATTCTTCTAGATCATCCAGATACTTATGTGCATCAGGGTTAATTTTCTTTATGTAATCCATGGCTTTATTGTAACCTAACTTGGTATAAGCCTTTGCAGCAACCTAGAATAGTTTCCTCAGCACTAAACTAGGGAATTTTGTTTGAAATTGGAGAGAATGTGATGACAACAATTTCTGTGAATAGCATGTGACACTTTCTCTTCAACTGCATCAACAAGCCCCTAATAATAACAAACAAAAAAGTTGTTACTTAGTTTTAAGAATAGAAATGTAAAAATAATAATTGAACATGAAGTACAAAAAACTAAGATTAGAAATTACATACCTTTTGTCTATCAGTCATAAAAGTCCACTCTTTATCCCTTGGAAACCCAACCATCTAGTCTGACAATTGCTCCAAGAAGAATTTCCAGCTGTGAAGGTTCTCACTTTCAACAACAGCAAAAGCAAAGGGAACTAAACCATTGTCTCCATCGATGCCAACAGCACTAAGCAGAACACCGCCGTAAGGGCCTTTGAGAAAACATCCATCAAAACCAACAAAAGATTTGCAGCCTTGCATCACTCCATTTGCCAGTGGCTTAAACCCTATAAAGGCTCTCATAATATTAGGAATGTCCTTACCAGGGGCCATTGAATATTCTATCTTTGCCACCATCCCTGGGTTACTTTGTTTCACCATCTCAAAGTATTTAGGGAGCAATTTCCAAGAGTCGCCATGGCTTCCATCTAACATCTCAGCTACCAACATTCTTGCCCTACAGAGTTTCTTATTTGAAGGGTGCGCTCCCAATTTTATCAAAGCATCTCTTAGATTATCAAGTTTCACATTTCGATCAGCCCTGACTAAATCCACTATTTTCTCAGCCATCACTTGGCAGAAGCAGTTAAATCAGGATTAACTTGGCATGTGTGAATCGTTTGACATGACTTCACACGAAAAGTCACACCATAAGAACATACAGAAGCATGTGCCCTCCATTTACATTCTTTACCATCACAATATGCTATAACTCTGGTGGCATCAGTTTTGTACTCAATAATAATGAATCCCCACATAATGGAATACTCATATAAGACTTTCCTATAAGCTTCTACACTCTCAAATAGCATATCTTTCACAATTTCAAATTTTCCCCCCTCATGTAACTGAAATGCTGTCTTGTTCAAACACCCATTGAAAGGATCATCATCAAAATCGTCGTCTGAATCATTCCAATCACTAATATTTTCATCATCTGTTTCACCTATTGACAATCCACTATGATTAGAGTCTCCAACACATTCAGAAATAAAGGTGTACCTTTTTAGGGTCTCATCATCATCTTCTAAACCCTCATCATCATCACTCAAATTTATACAATAAAGTTCATCATAATTGTCAGCATTATGTCCTTCCCCAGTAGAAACAGTACCTCTACCTTGAATTTTTGCCTGTGTATCACCCCAAGTATTTTCAGAAGGCCCAGCTTGCCCATTTGATAGTTAACTATTCCCAACAGTCAGAGAAGGCCTATCTTTACCATTTGTTTGTGGACAATCTTTTATAGTTCTAGAAGTTCCACCATTTGCTTTCCTTTGACTCATTTTAAGAGACTGAATTTCTTCTTTGATATTTCTTGTTATCCTCCTTTTTCTCTTAGCCTTCAGATTCACTTGAGAGACATCAAGAAAAGAATTCACACCAGCATCAACAATGTTTACATCACATGTGCTATCATTCTCATGCATCACAATCGCCTCAACTGGAATAGGGTTTTCGAGACCTCCAGTGACAGTAACTTGTGTACTAGATCCACTTAACAACAAACCACCATAGTTATCAGAATACCCTACTTCATTACCATTCCACATTTCAGTATCATTCTGAACATGAGAAGCATCATTCACATTTATAGACTTTTCAACATTTTCTACCCTAACATTCATGTTTGCGGAAATTTCAACACTACCCAAATCAGTACCTCCAGTCATTGAGTTATGTTGCATATCATCAATGAGCAAATTAACATCATTAAGATAAATATTTATGCACTGCTGGTTGCGACACATATCAAAAACTTTAGCAAGAACATTGTCATCACTTACAACAACCCTTTTTGTCTTACCAGGCACATCAGTGGTTACATAGCAGTCCAAAACTTTTCATAACACAGGATCTTTAAACAATACTTTAGTCATATCAGACAAGAGAACCACACGTGAGTACTCTTTAGGGTCCACTTTTTTTTTATCTCATGCACGACCTTCATAGTGCAAAATCAGCTTATGCAAACAAACAACCTGAAATTTCATAATATAACAAATTAATTAAAATCCAATTCATAATCCTTGCAAATTCAGACTTCTTTGAAATGACATGACATCGACTCAACAAAACAAAACACTCAAACATTGATCAATACATCATATTTTACCAAGTCTTTTTTATTTATCACTTGAAAATTAAAAACCCCCAATTTTTACAGCTTTTGGTAAATCAAAAAATTTGATGCAATTGTTTATACTCACATAATATATGAATTAAATGTAAAGATATACAATCTACTGCTCGAATTTCAAGAAATCATTATAATAACACATAAAAACTCAATCTTTACAAAAAATAAATCCCAAATTTTTTACCGATTGTTGAAACTTAGTTTAACACTTCCTTATACTCTTTTGCAATGAATCCCTTGGATACCAGACAAAAAAATACACCATCTTACAAGCTTAAAAATCCGTGCATGTGAGCAAACAGAATCTTCATCCCTTGCCATTTTTTGTAGCCTACTTATGCATCAACGAAAGGGACAACGATGAATTATTTTTTGAAAACCTTAGACTCCAAAATTAGATGATTAAGCCACAAAAAAATGAAAATTGACCCATGAAAATCTACTAACAATGGCACCTTATTACGAAGGAGGTTCAAATGCCGAAGAGGATTGGAGGAATAGAAGATTCGAAGCAAAAAAATGGCTGAAGTAATTTTTAATCGGGGAGGCAGAGGGTTTTTTAAGTAATTTTACACTTCAGAGTTTTCCCGCCCAAAATCTCGTAGGGACCACCGTGGGTTTTTTGTCTTTTTACAATTTTAGACCTTTGACATTCTGTCTGTGGCAGTCAAGGGATGCTTTTGTCCTTACGCATAACTCAGGGGGGAAATAGTCTTAAGGACATAAATCGGGGGGATAATTGTCCTTTTTCCTAAAGAATATGATCGAATAGGTGCCGATGATGGCGGAGGCGACGGTAATGCCTTGTTCGATGCCATTTTACGGTTGAGTGACCTAACTAATTTCGCACCCCGCCAAAATTCCCATGATCGACCATCACGATTGCCGATGATAACCGGTGGGGTACTGCTCTTACCCACATTGAACGTTGAGGAGGAAGACTCAGATGTGACTCTCGACTCTGGATCATATGATTTGCTGACAGCTTCACCTCTGGAGAGGTCTCAGTTAGTCCCATTCGGATCCGAATTCGGATCCATGGCTACCAAGAAACAATGTGTTGGATCAAGCATCATCAAAGGGTATACTGATAAAATAGAAAATGTGCCTAGTTGAGGAAATTTTGTCAGAGGACAGGCTGATCTCGAAGGTGCCTTGAACCAAAGACAGATTATGAAGCTAGATCTGTTCTACTGAAAGGTCGTGTGAATATCTTTATCAATTTTGCTAAAGGGTTTGGAGGAGTTCTTCAAGAACTAAAATCTGTATTGGCAGAAAAGCTATCCAGCAGCATATTATCCATGCAAAAAATTGAAGAACATCAATAAAAGAGAAAAGTTGAATGGGAACTTCGAAGACTACATTGTGTGTGGCTTAATTTCCAAAGTCGTGTAGTAAAACCATATTTATAAGCATAGCAACTAATATTATCTTACTAGATAAAAATGAATAAAATAAAACTATCAACTATTCAACACTTATCCCTCTAGTCTTTATCTATCTTGATTAACACAAAAAGGTAAAGATGACTCTTCTTCTTGATGAAAAACTCCTCTTGATATTCATCTTAACACCTTATTGTTTTGGATGCTCACACCATTATAATTTTCCTTGCATCAAGAATTTATCCTTAGTTCTTCATAAGTCTTATAGGTTACCTTTGAAAACTAGTGTAACTTCACTAGGTCAATTTGACATACACAATGTGCTCAAAACATATGAGACATTAGAACCAATCCAAAACATGGCTTTATGGCACACCCAATGCTAATGCATGTGGTATGTTGCTAATGTCATACTTAGTCTCTTTAGACTGTTTCTAAGTATACACTTTAACTAAAGCCAAGCAATCTCTTCAATCTATCTCTATAGAATATTACACCTAACGTTTTTGTTAGGTAGCTTAAGTACTACATTGAGAAGTATTTTCCCATATAATAGTATGTTATTTACATACTATACAAGAAGTACTATCACGCTCCCACTAAATTTCTTGCAAACAGGAACTCATTTTTGTTTATGATAAAATCAAACTCTTTGACTAAAATCATTAAAACAAAGCATAAACTCAAAGATGCTTGTTTTTAGCTTGCACACGTTTTAGCAATTTTTGGAATGCCTTTAAACATTGCACTAGGCGAAAGGTTTTATCATAGTCACAACATGAATTTACGTATAACTTTTATACCTTAAGGAATCACCCGTCATGTTTTCATGGTCACACCATGAACATCGTACCATGTATATTTCTTCATTTATATTTATATCTCTTTATCCTTCTCAAGAAAAGCCCTTTTAGACCTTAAGGGAATCACCTCTTTAGGTGGATTAACCAAGTTCCAAACTTGAATTTCGGACATAGAATGCATTCAAATATAATGACTCTAAGCCATATCTCTGAGTTTGAAGTCATCATTGCTTACTTGTATGTTTTAAATTCATTATCACCAACAATGCGTTATTTAAGACCTACGCAATGATTGTATTCTTGAACATGTACTTGTCCACAACATTTACAAAACTTGCTCTAGTTCCATCTAAGTCTAAATGTTGTCTCTTGGTTTTATACTTTCTCCCACTTATGTTTTTAGAAACAAGTTTTCTAGAGAAGCAAAAGAGATCATTCATGGAAGGAAGAATGAGAGGAAATAGGAAAGAAAAAAAAAAGGAAAAACAAAATTTTCAGCGGTGTGAAAATGCTCTAGAATTTCTTGCTACTAAAAGTAAGAAGAACATTTGTTTGTTTTGTTTAATGAAATTTATCTTAGTTGTCGTCCGTCGTTGGGATATTTTTTATGCTTGATTAATATTTCTAATACATATCATTTGCATTTTTTATGCTTAATTAATATTGCGGAGTTCGTAAGGAGTTTTTTGTTTTTGTTTTATTTTTGGATGGACTACATTTTAATCCTGAGTTTTAACCCACTCTATCATAAATCTTTAGAGCTTTGATGATAGTATCATTTACCACCTGAATAGGAGGTTAAACATTGAAATAACTAAAATAACTATATATAGTTATATACACTTTACTTCCTTTTCTTTTTTCCCCTCTCAATAGGTTATAATTTTAAAGAGGGGGCGGGCAGCTCTGTGATAACACTATAGAGAAAGCAACGCTCGGTATAGAGTTACGTCAGGTGTGGATATAAAATAGGCTTTTAATAGACTTCTTAGTTCTACAGCTCTAGGAAGGCAGATCTCTGGGTCCCTACCGACGTTGGGCTTAATTTTTTTTAACATTAAAAAACAAAAATTACTTAGTTTTTTTGTTTTTCACATTTAATTATAGCATAATTTAATATGTGAAAATTAATCCATGATTAAGAATATAAGTTTATTATACTTTCAAAAAATTTAATTAATGAAGATTATTTTATTTCATGCTTGAATAATTTTTTCTCTGGATATAAGATCCTTCTGCAGCTTTATCTTCATTGTGATATGTTGGAAAGGGTTAATTTCTCTTAATTCAGTTTGTTCTTTAATATTGTGGTAGTGTTCATTCTTCATATGAATGTTATCTAATAATTCTTGTCCATACAATTGTTTTGTATCTGGGTTGGTCTTCATCATTTCGTCCCAAAATTTGGTATAACCAACTCTTTTGAGGCAAGGTAATTTCTTGTCAGTATAACCGATTTCTAGAACTCATTTCCATATCCACGGAATTAAAAATTCAGTATGTTCGTTTGCTTGGCATTGGGGGCTTGGAAATGGCATTGGACCCCTCATTGCCAAATCCGGTGTTCGGCTGTCAAAAAATGAGATGGAATTGGCATTGGCTAATGCCTAAAGGTTTCCAATGCCATGATTTCAATTTCGGGCTTCAAGCTATTATTTAGGATTCCAAAATTTTGTTGATTTGAACAGTTCGCGGGTCATTTCCAGGTTTTTTAATAACAATTCAGGTTCGGGTCTTTTTTATTAGCTTTTGTGTGCGGATTTTTTTTCCTCCTCTCTTCGTTTCGGCTGTTCCCCATCAAACTTTCTCCTCCAATAATCTACACCATCTCCGACGAAACTTTAACCTAAAGCGAAGGAGGCTACGACAAGTTGTTTCTTGTGATTTTTTATTTCCATCTTGTTCTTCCTTTTGGGTTGATTAGGGTTCGCTTCTCGTTAATTCATCGAGATTTTGTTCTGATGCTTGGATTTTCAATCAAATCCTTCTTATTTCAGCCTGGACCTGTGTGAAATTTTTGTGGGTTTTGTTTATTGAATCACATTTGAACTAGGTTTGTTTCTCTGCAGCTTACCTGGTGCTAACAACATATAGTCAGCCAACTTCCTTTACCCGACGATAATCCTTCTCCACATCCGGCCGAGGAAACAGACTTCAAAATCTAGGTAGCGATTTCTCCTTTTCTTGTTCCGTTATTCTTTCCTTTCCAAAAACATAACCTTTGTAGCATTTTTCACCATAGAGCGGTAGCTCATGAATTTCATGGCCGAGTGTTCTTTATAGGAGTATTTTCTGTAGCTTGGTGTACCTAATTTTTGTACGTGTAGCTATATTTTTTGGTTTAAACTTTTGAGTATTTAGCTTTTATATGTACTCCCTTCGGCATTAGTCATTGGTCATTGCACATCATTACTGGTAGTTTA